CTCCATTTCCCATTCACCCTCATTTTAAGAATATTACATCTTAAAATAAAACCTCAACAAATGCCCCCTTCTGTTATTGGATCTGCACCAGAAAAAGTGCTGGCTCATATTTTGCTGCGTAGCCATATTTAGATGTGCTATACTTCCTATGTACTCCTGTTAGTTTCCCTGTTGCTGCCTTTCGGTGGTAGCTCACGATCGATCTTGAGCACTCCCTAAGCAAGAAAAAAAAATGCTAAATCAGACCAATCTTGAGAGGTGAAGTGAGAATCAAACAGAAATATGGAGTTAGTTCTCACAGAAGTTGATCTTCTGAGTAACTTGTATGCCATTCACAGGTTTTATTCCATTGCTTGACACCATAAAGCGTGCACTGAGCTGTATAGACTACCGCAGCAGCCATGAAAGATGGTGGAAACTTAAGCATTTCATATTCCACGAGGCAAAGCTCGATTAAGAAAAAGGACAGGACCTCAAGCTGTTAATAAGAACCAAAGAAGCGTTAATGTGACGTACAATACATTTAACGTGTTGTCATTAAACTTTACCAATTATAATAGTAAAGTCAAAAGAACTATTTTTTTATCACATTAAGTGAATGTCACCAACTATAACATTTAAAGTCACAAGATTATTTTCTGTCACATTATAATAATTGAACTATGTCTGAATTTTCAGAAAATACAAATGACCAGAAGGTCAAATTTCCATCTTTCGTGCTACCGTTTTTTCTTCACTTACGAGCCAAGAGGGACATGAGCCACTATTACAAGTGCCTTCCCACACTAACCTTTTTATCAGCTTGAGCAGCCTTGAGAAATCTTCTCATAAAAACATACGCAGTTGGAACTGACATATTAAACTGCAGTGTATTGAGCATTAATGTTTCCTGCAGTAAAATTAAAGGAATGGATTCAAGTGTCAAGTAAAGTAGAGACACTGCAGTAGTTGTTGATATAATGAGATCAGTATTACCATTTCAAGAACCTCTTTCCTCCTATAGGCGTTGTCCGAAATAATCACCAAATCATCCACTACTGGGACAGAGACCTCTTCATATTTGCATGCTAATAGCATAGCAACCAGCCCAACAAGCTGCAACTTCTTTCTTGCAACTGTTTGCTTCTCCAAAAATCTGTCTATCGAATTAACGGTCAAGAATAACGTCTCTTCCCTGAGCTCAAACTTGTGATGTACCTGTTTGTTTAGAAAGTTAACATCACAATGAAATACTAACTTAATTCCACTACCTGATAATTTTCATTGTGAAGAAGCATCAAATATACCTCAATGAGCCAGTCTACTAATATAGCTCTCATCCTTTCATTGATATCAAACTGTTGTGTCATATAGTTTGGTGAAACACAGCTATAACCCTGAAATGCAAATGGCCAATATCAATTACAGCTGCCAATCTTGAATCTAATTAAATTCCAACGCCTCGTTCAACTACCCCTTAGTTAAGTTAGCCTCCTGAAATGCATGGAGTTGGTTTTTCAACTCTAAACTAACATGCTTCTTTAAAAATGAAAAAAGGTAAAATCTTTGTGCAAGGTGTTTAATTGCGTTTAATGTGAATATGTTATGTTAGTTAAGGAAAGGGGCTATTGATAATAAAAGTTTACATAAAAAGGGGAAGGTTGATAGTTTTAATGGACAATGAATTTAGCATTTGAAAAACTATCTATCCATCGATGGCCAGTTAATAATTAAGATAGGAAGGGAAGAACACTTTATAGTCTTGCTGAGAGGGAGATAATATTTTTACTTAACGTTGGAAACCTAGAAATCATTTACAATCATTTTTCATTTGAAAATGCAATTAATGATCAATCCTAGTAAAGCTGGTGTTTGAACAGAGGCAACAGACATGATAAGTTGGATCTGCCCTTGCCTCATTAAATGTGAGATTTACCCTGGCAAAACTGTAAAAATTTTATTCAAACTAGAACAGCTTAGGTTGTGCCCAGTGTTTGTGTACAGATACTCCCTCCGTCCAAGTTTCGTTGTCCATTATACTAAAAAAAGATAGTCTATTTTTACTTGTCCATTATACTAAAAAAGATAGTCTATTTTTACTTGTCCAGTTTGAAAAACCAATCAACTATTTTATACCTATTTTACCTTTCTTGTTAAGTACTACTTAATTATTTCCAATTCATTTTCCAACATATAATAAATAAGGGTGATATAGTAAAATTGCCATGTTATCTATTGTTTCTTAAGAGGTGTACGAAGTCAATTATGAACAAGTAAACTTAAACGAAAGGAGTATTTCACACCATCGGGTTAAGTCAACCTAAAATTACAGCTAACTTTTCATAGCAAGTCTAAGAAGGTAACTCGGAAAATAGATTAAATAATCTGTTATATCTACTAACAGTGTAAAATTTTACACTGTTAGTTAGTGTATATAACTTAGATCCTTCATTTCTAACAGAACCAGAAGAACCTGAATGGAGGACTGACCTCCATTTTTCTGTAGTTGGGGTACAGATCATTCACATAGTCAACAACTGCAAGTGGGTTCTTTGCATCATCACTGTCAATATCTATTAGTGCCTCCTCAAATATATCCTCCATTTGAATCTCCTGCAGAAATTTACAAAGTTAGCTGTTTAATTAAGTATACACAAAAAACAACTCATTAAAACATCAAACACAAATAAACAAGAAAGGGAAACTCTTTTTACCATTTCTGTCTTGTCATTTGAAAATGTTGCTTCTTGTTCCAAAGACATAGGCATGAGTTGGTCTTTAGCTGCCACATGTTCCTCCCAAATCCTAAAATCTTCAGCTGCTAGTTTTGGTTTCTTTGTTTCCTGTTCAACATCATTGTGCCTGACTTCAACTTTTAAGCTATTTGACACTTTAATTTAACCAAAAAGAAATCAACTATTTTTACTCCATGATATCGAAATTTTGTACCTCGGGGTAATGCTGGTGTGAGCTAGCAATTGGTNCCAAATGGGCAAGTGAGCTGAAATTTAAATATACAAAATTCATAGAAATGGAAGTTTTACTGACTAACCTCGTAGGATTCTTATCGTAGATGATTCCATTTGCACTGAAAGCAAGAAAATTTTAGCACCAGATTAAAAATGAAACTCAGAAAACATAAAAAGTGAAAACTCTAAAGTTGGGAGCCAAGTATTACTGTGATAATCCTCTCTTGTTAACAACACAACGATATGGATTAGGTCCTAACAAATTCTGATTAATCACTCTCAGTGCTCTTCTGTTGTGTCTTGTCTCCACTCCAAAGTCAAACTTGTTGTTTCCCATTTCTGCCTCACCACCTTTCATTCATAATAATAACAATGACAATGATAAAATTTTTAGGGGAAAAAAGACCATCTTTTATAAAACTGGCATTTTTATAACAACAACATACCCAATGATTTTCCACAAGTGGACTGATTCTCATCGTCAGATATATCCATGTTTTTTTTTCCTTGAGTAGGAAAGAACAAATGAAGAATGAGATTGATAGCAAAAATTAAAGAAACAAGCAAGAAAGAGGGGGGGGGGAAGGATAGGATTAATGGGCGAAAACGATGGGTATATGTCTGGTGAAACACAAGGGATATCTTTATATATTCAAATGAAACGGCTAATGAAATATGGCCGTTGTGAAAGATTTTCACAATTTCGCCTACACCAGCTAGGCATATGTGGCGAATGAAGTTTAAGGGAGACGTTACTTTCAAATTAGTCTAAAAATGTTAATGTGCTAAATTACTTTCCTTTGACTTCCTAAGTTAATAGGATTCTGAGTTATTATTATACCATCGGTATAGTTTAATATATTACGTACAGGGGATTATTTAATTTACGCTATTATCAAAGTTAATAAGTTATAGTTGCCCTAGATAATTATATATAATTGACTTTTAAATAATAGTTTGATTAATACTATAACAGTGTTTATGTTGTCACTTGTCAGTGTATAAAATAAAACTTCAAATAAAGTTAATGAGGTTTGCACTTTTAGGAAGATAACCGTGAAATATAGAATGCGCTCTCGCGCGCCCACTTTTGGCTCCTTCCTACTTTTTGCTCTTTCTTTCTTTTCGACCAATGACCATGGATGATCAAGTTTTCAATCCACTTTCTTTCTAGTACAAGCGCTAAATTTTTAGCATGACAAGACTATAGTATCATTTTCCTTTATGTCTAGACTATAATTTAAATGATTTAAGAAATCATTGAATTTTTTTACTAAATTATTCTTGTTAATGATTATTAAAGTTATAACTTCAATTAATTTGGACAGTATGGGTACTTAATACTAAGGGTAATATTGAAAGAGAATAATAAATTTATTTTGATTTGTTTAAATAGACAAGTACAACAATAACAACGATACAGTATAATCTCACAAGTGGAGTCTGAGAAGGGTAGTGTGTACGCATGCCTTACTCCCTACCCCGATAGAGTTGAGATGTTATTTCCGATATACGCTCGGCTTGAGAAGATGGAAAAGACGACGAAAAGATTTATTTTTGGTATAAAGGACTAATAAAAAGGACGTGAGAGTAAATTTGAATTAAATTTTTCGTAAGTATGATGAGTTGCTTGGTAATATTAATAACATCATAAATGAACTGGATTTTATCCTTCAACACTTATCATTGAATAACTTTGTAATTTTGATTCAAATTATTGTACTGAAAAATAATTAACTAACTGAAATCATGAACGAAAGAAAATCATAAATGAAGTTGACTTCTGTATTAGCATATTCACAATATTACGGGACGTAATTATAAAAGATTTAGATCTTCAAACCATCACATTTTCAATGTTGATCATTAATAAGTTGGTGGGGGTACTCCAAGAGAGGATTAAAAACTATTAGGATCGGGAACCCGGGTAGTGCAGAATTTAGTCAAACAACGGTATAATGACAATAACAAAGACAATGGAAGTTGATAATAACGCCAATTAAAGAAGATAAGGAAGACACAAATTTAACGTGGTTCGGTCAAGGTGACCTACCTCCACATGCGGAGAGGAGCAATTTTACTATACCAACAAGAATACAAAAGAGAGTACAAAATTATAGTAAATACTCTAATTAATCCCAAATACCCCAAGAGAATAACCTCACAAGATCACTCCAAAGAAAGGGTTCACACAAGTGTTTCCCGACACTAACTCTCTTACAAAATACTCTATAATGAAATAAAGGAGGAGAAAGAAAGACAAGAGTGAAAAGCTCTTGAATTGGTGTGTTTTCAAATGAGGAGAAACTCCTCTATTTATAGCAAAAAATTCTTGGCCGAATAATGAATATTATATCATGGCAAATGTCATGATCCACAAATTTATTATAATGGATATTATGTCATGGCAAATGTCATGAACCACAAATTTGTTATAATGGATATTATGTCATGGCAAATGTCATAAAAATTTGGCCATATTACAAATCTCCATCTTGGCCTAATTTTGATATATATTGTAAATTTGCTCCACCTTCTCCGCAAAAATCCCAATGAGCAAAATCATTCTTTATAAATGCCAATCAAGTTCAGGCAAAGCTTGAACTTGGACACTGGAAGAGGTTTTGTGAACATGTCAGCAGGATTGTCTCTAGTGTTGATCTTATGAAGAGAGACTTTTCTTTCAGCAATGGTTTCTCGGATGAAATGATAATTTATATCAATGTGCTTCGTCCTCTCATGATACATTTGATCTTTAGTCAAGTGAATGGCACTTTGACTATCACAAAAAATGGTAATACCACTTTGGTGTAAACTGAGTTCCGCAAATAAACCCTTTAACCATAAAGCTTCTTTGATCGCCTCGGTCACTGCCATATATTCTGCTTCGGTAGTAGATAAAGTTACTACATGTTGTAATGTAGCTTTCCAACTAATAACGCCACCACCAATGCAAAATACATAGCCTATCAGTGATCTTCTTTTGTCAGGATCACTTGCATAATCTGAGTCTACAAAACCAACCAAAGTGTTAGTATTTCTCCCAAACTCCAAACATGAGTTTGAAATACCTCGCAAGTATCTGATAATCCATTTCACATCATGCCAATGTACTTTACCAGGGCAAGCCATATACCGGCTTACCACGCTCACTGCTTGTGAAATGTCTGGACGTGTACAAACCATTGCATACATAATACTGCAGACTGCACTGGAATAAGGAACTTGTGCCATGTACCTCTCTTCTTCCTCTGACTGCGGAGACTGAGCAGCTGATAACTTAAAATGAGCAGCAAGAGGGGTACTAACTGGTTTAGCATCGTTCAAGCCAAACCTCTCTAAGACTTTCTCCAAGTACTTCTTCTGAGTCAGAAATAGCCTGTTGGCTTTTCGATCTCTTTTTATCTCCATGCCAAGGATTTTCTTAGTTGCTCCCAAATTTTTCATCTCAAATTCACTTTTCAGCTGACTTTTCAAATTGTGAATTTCTGTTAAATCCTTAGCATCAATGAGCATGTCATCAACATATAATAATAGGTACACAAATGAACCATTATTTAACTTCCGGAAGTAAACACAATTATCATACATGCTCCTCGAATAACCATGACCCAACATAAAGGAATCAAACCTTTTATACCATTGCCTTGGAGACTGCTTTAATCCGTACAAGGATTTCTTCAACAAGCAAACATGATCTTCTTTTCCTTCAATTTCAAATCCTTCGGGTTGATGCATGTATATTTGTTCCTCAAGTTCGCCATGTAAGAAAGCTGTCTTAACATCAAGTTGTTCTAATTCCAAATCATACATGGCAACGAAGGCAAGCAAGACACGAATAGAGCTATGTTTAACAACATGTGAGAAAATATCATTAAAATCAACTCCTTGTACCTGACTATAGCCTTTTGCAACTAATTGTGCCTTATACCTTGCATCTTCAACCCCTGGAATGCCATCCTTTTTCTTGAAGACCCATTTGTAACCAACAATTCTTTTTCCTGATGGCGGCTTCACAAGAGACCAAGTACCATTCTTGTGGAGAGACTCAATTTCTTTATTCATTGCAATCAGCCACTTGGCTGAGTTAGCACCAGAAACTACTTCTGAATATTTTGATGGTTCTTCAATTTCTTCAGTTTCCTGTGCAACTGAAAAAGCAAATGCAACATAATCTCCAAACCTTAATGGTTGTTTACCTTCTCTTCTTGGTCTATGTTTGGCTATAGAATACTCCTCTTCTTCTGGTTCAACTTCAGGAGTCTCAACTTCAAGAATTTCAGCTTTTGTCTCAACTTCAGGAGTTTCAACTGTATTTTGCTCCAAAGTTGATGAGCTTGGCTCCGAAGGAATGCCAATCTTAATCTCCACCTGGTTTTGTGTACTCTTTCCTTTATCTGTATTGCAAGAACTATAAGACTCTTTTCTAGAATGTAACATAGAGGATTCATCAAAGGCTACATCTCTGCTAATTATAAATTTTGGTATCGTGGGATCAGGATACCATAGTCGATATCCTTTCACCCCAGATGCATACCCAAGGAAAATACACTTTTTAGCCCTTGGCTCTAATTTTTCATCATTTACATGCATGTATGCAGGGCAACCAAATATCTTTAAATCAGAATAATTAGCAGGAGTACCTGACCACATTTCCTCTAGAGTCTTAAAGTTCAAAGGTACAGAAGGAGCTCGGTTGACTATATAACAAGCTGTAGAGATAGCTTCTGCCCAAAAGGCGTTTGTCAACCCAACATTTGAAATCATGCAACGAGCCCTTTCCAAAAGAGTTCTATTCATCCTTTCTGCCACACCATTTTGCTGAGGTGTCATTCTCACAGTACGATATCGAGCAATTCCTTCATTCTTGTAAAATTCGTTGAATTCATCATTACAAAATTCCAAGCCATTATCTGTTCTAAGCCGCTTAACATGTTTTCCTGCTTGCTTCTCAATCAAAACTTTCCATTGTTTGAAATTTAAGAAAATATCACTTTTATTTTTCAAGAAATAAACCCAAACTTTTCTTGAATAATCATCAATGAAAGTTAACATATANGGATAAGGAAACAAGCAATAACATAGCTTGATCCTTATCTTTGATTTCAGCATCTATGTTACTTAAATCCATAAGAAGAGAATCAAAANCTTGCTTCTCAATCAAAACTTTCCATTGTTTGAAATTTAAGAAAATATCACTTTTATTTTTCAAGAAATAAACCCAAACTTTTCTTGAATAATCATCAATGAAAGTTAACATATACCTGGCACCACCTTTTGATGGGGTACGTGAAGGACCCCAANTCATATATAGGGTTTTAAGTTTTTTCCATATGCCTTCGGCTGAGCTTTCTGCTGCAACTTCACGCAAAACCTCATTTGAAAGATTTAAAATAATACCTGCTTTTACCTTTTTGTCTATGACAGCAAACTCCTTATCCATCATTTTATCCGGCATCTTCTTCTTTCCTTGCAGTGCCAAATCTAAGCCATCCTGAATTAGGATAGCTTCCATCTTTAATTGCCACATTCCGAAGTTTGCACTTCGGTCAAATTTCTCAACATAAGA